CCCTTACTGAAGGGTGCACAGCTTGTTAGCTGCAGTGTCTGGAGTAGAATACAGGGTAGCTGAGGCTCCTTCCCCCACTGGGCCTCTGCGCCTCTCCCCCACCCCATTCTAGACACCTGTCCTGGTTCTGGTCTCTGTCATGCCCCAAGGATAGGCGCCTGCAGGTAAACTGCTCAGTGCCTGGGGTGTTGCGCCAGGTGTTACCCGCATCTCCTTGAACTTGCTTAGACCTTTGCAGTGGTTCCTATGCAAACTTGGAAAGCCTGGGCTATTGGCAGAAACATCAGGGAACTGTGAATGTTAGAAATACAAGTGCCCGGGGTGCCCCCTGAAACCAATGAAATCAGAGTGTCTGGGTGGGGCCTGAGAAGCCTTCTCTAAGTTGCCCTGTGGAGGCTGCTGCTGGTTTGGTGGGCTCCTAGATGGTCTTTTTTTGGGAGAAAAGAGTCACTCTGTCACCCAGGCTGAAGTGCAGTGGCGCCATCTTGGCTTACTGCAACCTCTGCCTCCCGGTTCAAGCGATTCTTCTGCCTCAGCCTCTCAAGTAGCTAGAACTACAGGTGTGTGCTACTACACCCAGCTAATTTTTTGTATTTTTAGTAGAGACAGCTTTTTACTGGGTTAGCCAGGACGGTCTCGAGCTCCTGACCTTGTGATCCACGATCCACCTGCCTGGGCCTCCCAAAGTACTGGGATTACAGGCGTGAGCCACCGTGCCTGGCCTAGATGGATATTTAAAAAAATTGTTTAAATCTATTTGCTAAGAGACTGGCTAATTTTTGTGTTTTTGGTAGAGACAGGGTTTTGCCATGTTGCCTAGGCTGGTATCAAACTCCTGGGCTCAAGTGATCTGCTCACCTTAGCCTTCTAAATTGCCGGGATTACAGAAGTGAGCCACTGTGCCCGGCCCTGAGTATTCTCATAGGTGCTTTCTGTGATAAGGCACTGAGAGCCTTTCAGGAGGGATGTGGCACAGGTAACCTGGTGCCCTGGAGATTGGGTGTGATTATTGTGCTTCCCTTTGTTTCCTGCAGGTCCAACTGCAGCCTCCTCAGCCAGCCCCTTCCTAAGCCTGGGGCTGGCAGGAGACAGAGACCAGGGACACGGCCTGGGACAGACTCCACTCAGGACTTTGCCCTCCTGCTCCAAGCTTCGCAGCTCCGAGGCTCAGCGGGTTAGCCTACTGGGACGCGTCTCCACCTCAGCTTCTCAAAGCCTGGTCCAGTTGGAGGGAAATGTGGACAACAGGGAGGAGAAAGTGAGACTGTGAATGTCCAGGGCCCCAAGCTGTCTCCAGGCTTCTGTGTCCCATGAGGAAAGTGAGTGGCAGCTGGGTCCCAGCTCAGCTAACTGGGTCATGGACCCCATTGGCTCAAGAAAGGAGAGGGGTCTGGGCATTAAGATTTCAGAAATCAGGACTGGGCCCAGGGGCTCACAGCTATAATCCCAGCACTTTGGGAGGCCAAGACAGGAGGATTGCTTGAGCTCAGGGGTTCGAGATCAACCTGGGCAACATAGTGAGACTCTCATCTCTACTTAAAGCCTGGTAGGGTGGTGTGCTCCTGTGTCCCAGCTGCTGGGAGCAAGCTGTGATGGTGCCACTGCACTCCTGCCTTGGTGACAGTGAAACCCTGTCAGGACTGCATGGCATCCCTCACTGACAGCCATGTCAGGTAAGGCTGCTGGGAAGGGTACAGAAGAGGGGGCTTCAGGTGGCTTAGCAGGTTGACTGAGGTGGTGCAGCTCCAGGTTCTCAAGTCCTAGGGCTTTGAGGCTTGGCCTGGGGCAGTAGGGAGCTATGGAAAGCGGTGGAGGAGGAGTAGACAGCTGGAAACATCAGGGTGCCCCAGCAGATCCTCTTCTGGCTCCAGGGGGCAGAGAAGAGAGTGTGGTGCTGTGGGCATGTGCCCACGGGCAGTCAGCAGAGGTGGAGGTCCTGTTCCGGGATGGCAGGCAGCCCTTCCAGCCCCTGGGACGCCTGACCTTGCAGGCTGCCAACCACAGCCTCCTGCTGGCTGTGTACGGCTGCCAGGGGCACCTGCTGGGCCATGTGGAGGTGAGAGGGCCTGGACTGGGACACAGGGAAGGGGTTACCATTCTTTCTCTGGGCAGAGGCCACAGTGCCAGGAATCCCGAGCCCTTTGGGTCCATCTGTGCCTAGAAACCAGAGCACATGGCCCCAGCGTGAGGCCCGCACCTGCCGCTGGCACCGAGACCTTTTGTCTATTTCATTCCTATGCGGCCCCAAGGGAGTCCCAGCCTCTTCTCTGTCCTGACAGTCCAGAATTGCAGCAGTTGGCTCCCAGGTGCAAGCCTGGCTGGAAAAGGTTCCAGCAGCTGGTGGGTAGCACAGGGGGGAAGGATTGGGTGGAGAGCTCCCCCTCTGGCCTGGCTTGTAGCCCCCACTTGCCAGGCATCCCACCCTGGGCAGGAGGGTCTGGGGCTCTCTCTGCCCTGGACCTTACCCTGATTCTGCCTTGGCTTCCCTGCTCAGGTACAGCCGGCAGGCACCCTGGATGGCGTGGCAGGCCTCCTCCTTTGGCTGTCCCAGGCAGGCCTGGAGGCCATGCAGGTGAGTGGATGGGCCGTCACCACCTTGTGGGGCCAAAGCCAGGCCAGGCAGGCACTGACCCAGCACCTGCCTCTTTACCTGGACCGGCTGCAGGTGGGACTGGAGCAACTGTGGAATGAGCTGGAATGTGAGTGTGGGAGGGAGGGCTCAACCCTGCACCAAAATCTACGCCCAGTCCGGGGCCCTAAGCCCTCACATTGACGTATGGCATTGTTTCGATCAGAATGGTGGCTTTGCTTCCCGCTGGCCTGCAGCTCAGCTGTGTTAAGACCCCTGCCTTACTTCTTACAGACCTATAGTCTTGGGGTTTTTGTTTTTTGTTTTGTTTTTTTTAACATGGAGTCTCACTCTGTTGCCCAAGCTGGACTGCTGTGGCATGAATTTGGCTCACTGCAACCTCTGCCTCCCGGGTTCAAGTGATTCCTGTCTCAGCCTCCCAAGTAGCTGGGACTACAGGTGAGCCCAACCACGCCCAGCCAATTTTTCTATTTTTAGTAGAGATGGAGTTTCACCATATTGGCCAGGATGGTCTTGATCTCTTGACCTCGTGATCCTCCCGCCTCAGCCTCCCAAAGTGCTGGGATTACAGGTGTCAGCCACCGTGCCTGGCCCAACCTTCATTTTTTCCATGGTCTGCTGTCTTATTCTTACAGGGTCTCCAAGCTAATATCCCTTACGCCTGCTTTCTTTAGAGTGAACAGCCTTGTTTCTGTGAAGCTCACTGTCACAGGGTCTCTTCCTGGTTCCACGATGAGCTCTCTGTGGCCGTGTGGTCGTTAAACGCTCACAGCTACTGCCTTCCTGGCAGGACTAAGAACTTCTGGCCTCTCCACCATCCAGGGCTAATGTTTGGCCCAGCACAGAGCCCCCAAGACTCTGCCCAGTCCCAGGGTGGGCATCCCTCTGACTGGCTGTTGAATGTCACCTCCGTAGCCTCTCTGCTGTGCCAGAGTCCCATGGCCACCCATAGGGCAGTGAATTTGAAAGAGTGCTCCATGACCCGGCACATTGTGCTGTTCGCAGCTGTCACTGACTACAGTAAGAGGAGGCAGGAGTGTTGGCACAGGGAAAGGGGCCAGGGCGGAGTCCAGGGGGAACCAGGGCCAGCAACTAGTGTCCTCTCCCAGTCCCAGTGCCTTCACACAGGAGGGACTTGGCTGTCCCAGCACTATGTGACCCAGGGTGTTTAGTGGGGCTGCCCCATTGGCAGGTGCTCCTTGGCACGGACCACATTGTCAGACTCCTAGGAGGCAAGCAGGGGTTCAGCATAAACCATGTTCATGCAAACAGTTCAGGTGCAGAGAGCCTTGTATCAGTTCTAGGAGTGGTGGGAACCCTCCCCCAATCCAAGTTCCCAGACAAGCTATGAGCAGGCAGTGCAGAGGCAGCTTGGGTCTGCTGTGACAACTCGCCCGCAATCTCCAGAGCCTACTGCTCTATTCCTTTCCCCCCACTCCCCCACCATCTTTACCCCAGGAAGAGGCCCTGTCTCCTTGAGGCCTGGACTGGGCCTCTGACCTGCCCAGACGCCTCATGGTGGGTGTTGGCTGCCAGTTGCAGGGCCCTTGGATACAATGCCTTGGATGCCAGGCAATGGGGGTCCCAGGCCCATCAGGGTGGCCCTGGGGGCCATGAAAGGCGCCCTGGAGCTGGTGAGTGAGAGCAAGAATGGGGCGTGGCTGGCAGTTGAGGACAACCAAGACAGCTCTCACTGTCCCCTCCCTCTCCAGGTGGCCCACCAGATGCTGTCCTGGGCTGAGGCCACATTCTCACAGGCACTAAAGAGGCTCTGCAAACCCCTGCTGGACCTGTATGGCCTCAGAGCCAGGTAATGCAGGGTTGGGAGTGGCGCATCCAGCGTTCCTGCCACGTATCAGGTGCAATGCTGAATGTTTCGACACGCGCTGACTCACTGACTCTTTTGACGGCCCTGCACAGAGGCTTCTTCACTCCGCATTTCACAGAAGAGGAAGCTGCGGTTTCTTCCTCGTTCCATAGAGACCTCGTGAGCAAGGTTCCAGTGCAGGCAGGATTTTAGGAGCTGCTGCAGAGGAGCGCAGTGGGCAAGACTGACCCCTGCCTTCAGGAAGCTCAGTTTTACTCAGAGACAGACACGAAGCCCAAGAAATCATCTGCAGCAGGGTATGCACAGCTCCCCGCAGAGAGCCTGAGAGTCACCTCTTAAGCGGGCCATTCTGCTCTGACACATTTCCTTTTGTTTTGTAATCATTATTATTATTATTATTATTATTTTGAGATGCAGTCTTGCTCTGTAGCCCAGGCTGGAATGCAGTAGTGTGATCTCAGCTCATTGCAACCTACGCCTCCTGAGTTCAAACGATTCTCCTGCCTCAGCCTTCCGAGTTGCTGGGACTACAGGCGCGTACACCACCGCATCTGCCTAAGTTTTTGAGTTTTTAATAGAGGCACGGTTTTGTCACTACAGGCTGGTCTCAAATTCCTGACCTTAGGTAATGTACCCCCCATTGGCCTTCCAAAGTGTTGGGATTACAGGCATGAGCCACCACTCCCAGCCTGTTTTGTAATCTTTTAAACACACAAATCCCTTCTTTCTTGCAGGCCTTGCAGAAGCCGGCTGCAGGCGGGGTGTGGCCCACTGCTCATCATTTACCACCACCGAGCCGTACCTTAGGTGGCAAGTGCTAGAGACGGAACATTGGTGAGATGGTAGGCTGGGGATCCTATGGTGTGACCATGGCCAGCTTTGAGGAGAAGGCACAGTTCAAGCAAGAGCCATGCGGCCAGCGTGGGAAGAGAGCTCCAGGTGGGGGCACCACTGCACAGAGGCCTGGGAGAGGGATGTGCCTGGCCTGTTTGTCTTTGAGATGGAGTCTCATTCTCTATCACCCAGGCTGGAGTGCTGTGGTGTGATCTCAGCTCACTGCAACCTCTCTCAAATTCAAGTGATTCTCCTGCCTCAGCCTCCCAAGTGGCTAGGATTACAAGCATGTGCCACCATATGTGGCTAATGTTTGTATTTTTACTGGAGTCAGGGTTTCACCATACTAGCCAGGCTGGTCTCAGACTCCTGGGCTCCAGAGACTTGGCCTCCCTAAGTGCTGGGATTACGGGCAGGAGCCACCATGCCTGGCCTGTTTTAATAGCAAGCTGGTTGGGCTGAAGCAGAATGTGAGCAAGGGAGAGTGGATGCAACTGGGAGGGACTGGGAGGTCCTGAGGCTGGAAGGTGGTGGGGACGACATGATCACCCTTTCACTTCAAAAGGCCCTTTTGGTCCCTGTGTTGAGAACACGGCAGTGGTGGATGGAAGTGGGGAACCAAGTCTAGAGCAGGGGCCTGGGGACCCGGTATCCTTTTCCCTCCCAGGCATGAGACCCACCAGGAACCAGGCTCCCGGAAGGGAGGCAGCCCCCTTTTTCCATGCTGGTGGCCTCACAGAGCATCTGGACCCCAGCTCTGCCTCTAACTGGGATTCGTCTGCATCGGCTCTGTGTGTCTCAGTTTCCCCAGCTGTAGAATAGGGACTAGACCCACATCATGGGGAAAAGGCTCCATGTAATACAAGTTCTTGCTCCTGCCACCTTGTGGTCAGAATGTAGGCTGAGGAAGGGAAGATCTCCCAGGGCGGGGCTTTGGCTTGGTTGAAGAATCACCTGCCTGGTTATTTGCCTACCTGGTGAGTGGGATCTGGTAGGGATGCCAAAAAATGGATTTAACTGGCAGGGAGGGCATTCAGGCTGCTTCCTGCCCCCAGCTGCAGGGCCTCTGGGCTCCCTAGAAGGTAAGTGAGTTCACCTGCCACATCAACAACAAAGTGAGAAATGTTCCTCGTCCCACTCCACCCCCACATGAGCGAGATCTTCCCGATCATTCAGATCTCACAGGCTTGACCCTAATCTACATATTGAGAAAGTTCCAGTCCTCCCCTCAACTGTAGACATTTCCTAGACCTGCTAGTCGGGCACAGTGGCTCATGCCTGTAATCCCAGCACTTTGGGCAGATCACTTGAGGTCGGGAGTTCAAGACCAACCTGGCCAACATGGTGAAACCCTGACTCTACTAAAAATACAAAAATTAGCTGGGCATGGTGGTGAGTGCATGTAGTTCCAGCTACTCTGGAGGCTGAGACAGGAGAATCACTTAAACCCAGGAGGCAGAGGTCGCAGTGTCAAGATAGTACCACTATACTCCAGCCTGCAACACAGAATGAGATTGTTCCAGAAAACAAATCAAAACAATTTCCTACACCTTCCAGCTCCTGTCCTTGGCATCCTCACACCCAGGCTCCGTGCTGCCCAAGACCCAGGGGGCAGATCAGGCATGACATCAGACATCTGTGTCATCAAAATAGGGCAGGTTGTTTCTGTCCTGGCCTCAACCCCACCTCCGCTGTCATGCCAGCCTCTGTGCTCCTCCACCTCATTATGGGATTTCCTAAAACAAGGGCAGCCCCTCCCCAAGAGGCACCCCCATGCTTTCCACAGCAGAGTTCCCCCTCTGCAGCCAAAGGAAGCATGGCTCGGCCAGGCACAGCGACTTGTCCTGTGTGTTCCCTCTAGGAACTACTCAGTGGTGGTGACACTGCTGCTGCTGCTGCCTGGGGTGACGTAGCCTGGGTGACTGGCTACCTGGTGGAGGAGAAGCTGCTGTGGCCATTCCGACAGCTGTCCAGGGCCAATGTGCTGGCCGAGTTCTACCAGCTCAGACGCCACCTGCTGCAGGGCCCCTGGGAGTGTGAATCCTGACCCAGACTGTGCCACCCTCCTCCCTGGGAGCCCCCTGCCCCATGGGCACAGCAGCAGGGCCATGCAGGGGCAGGTACTGTGGGGGCACAGGGAAGCCTGCAGCGGCTCTTGGCATCACAGGGCCAGGCCCAGAGCTTACTGGACTTCCCAAGGTCCTATGGGACTAGGGCTGAGGCTGTACATCCTGCTTTTGTCCAGAACATAAGGCCTGGCTCAAGAGAGGAGCGCAGTGGGTGGTTAAGGGCTTCAGTCCAGCTCCCTCCCTGTGGGCTCTGCTGGAGCAGAAAGCAGACCTCCCATTACAGCTTAAAGGGCACTAATTGAGTTCAGACTCACAGGTCAGGGGCAATCTGGTGCTGGGATGACCGACTCTGGGCTCCTGGGGAGCTTGCGTGTGGCTCAGATGAGTCTGCTAACCTCTGTGGACTTGGATTCCTCCACTATGAAATGCAGGTAACCGTGTGGCTCGCTCACATGGGTAAGAGGCATATACAGTTCTTAATGCACAAGGGAGCCCCTCATGTCCGTGGGGGAGCCACCGTACCCAGGCCTGGCAAAGAGTGGTTTATCTGTGTGTGACTCACATGGAGGCCTAGGGCTCCCTAGAAATGTGGGTGCAGTCGTGTCTAAGCAGCATGCTGATGCTGTAGAAAACAGCCTCGTCTTCAAGTTGTGTGTGTATGACCATGGGCTTCTCTGTGCCCCTCAGTTCTGATAGCTGACCATGGGACTGGTAGTGCCTCCCACAGGACGCTGGCCCTGGCCAACAGGTGTCTGGCTGTGCACCATGGATGGTGCTTTTCCACCACGGGCACGAGCACCCCCAAGGCACAGCTCAGGGGCCGCGCTGGCTGGACTGGTCAGACCTGCTCCTTCACAGGCCATCTCTTCCCTACCCTGAAGAGGGCAGGTCTGCAGGACACCGCTGTCATGTTTGAGGGAGCCGTTGGCCATCCACTTAATGTCTTTTTTCCCCTGCAGTAGCTTCCTTGAGATTAAATGGATGACTTGTATAATCTGTTTTTTGTTTGTTTTGTTTTTGTTGGAGAATAGGTCTCACTTTGTTGTCATGGTTAGAGTGCAGTGGTGCGCTCTCGGCTCACTGCACCCTTGACTTCCTGGGTTCAAGTGATCCTCCTACCTTAGCCCTGCAAAGCGCTGGGATGGCTTAGCACCACCATGCCTGGACGATCTGTGAATTTTAAGTGCACAATTCAGTGGCTTCTAGTTTGTTCAGAGTTGTGCATGCCTCACCACAATCAATTTTAAAACGTTTTTATCATCCTCAAATGAAACCCTGCAGCTGCTAGTCTGCCCGCTGTGTCCATGGCTGTGCCTGCACTGGACATCTGATATAAATGGAAGCATAGAATACGTGGGTCTGAGCCAGGCTTTGCTACTTAGCACAGCACTTTTGTAGCGGGTCTCAGGACTCGATTCCTCGTTAGGGTTGAATTGGCTGTAGCCCTTCAGCTCATGTCATCCTGAAGCTGGTAGGGGATCACTGGGCCTCTGGCTGCTGCACCAGCAGAGGGGGACTCCTGGCCTTAGCGCAGGCTAGGCCAGGGCTCTAGGAATTGGGGTGCCCATCAGGCATTGTGCTCCCATTGCGCTGGGTGGAGCTGGCTCCACTCACCCTGCCTTTGGGGCTGCTTCTTCCCAGACCATGCCCTGGTAGCTGGGGCACAGCATGTGGTGACTTTTGACAGCCGGGTGTGGGACCTCAGCGTCCAGTGCAGCAGCATCCTCCTGGCCCAAGACTTTGCTCACAACACATTCTCCCTGATGCTGATTCGGACAGACTTGGGGCTCATGGCCCTGCCCGTGGAGCTGAACCATGTGACCCTCATCTTCTACCCCAGCCTGCAGGTGAGGAGGAGAGGCCCCAGCATCCCCTGGAGACCTGTGCCTGCGGCAGGTTACCTGGGGGATGGCACTTTCAAGCTTGTCCCCTGGCTGTGGATCAGCTCTCCTGCCCACCCCCTCTGGTCCACAGGCCTACAGGCTATACAAATCCTACCTGCCAGAGGAGAGCTGTGCAGACCTTCAGCTGCCTCCTGCCATGACAAGGAGGGACATCCTCAGGATTGAGCTGGCCAGTGAGGACGGGGTCTCCATCTCCTGTGTCATGCCCACTGGCCTCTGCAGCCTGACTCTGGGCCTCTGGCACCACGGTGAGTCTGGGCCCCGGCGGGGTTGGCTCCACCACCAAGAGCCTCTTCAGGATGCACCATTCTCAGCTTCCAGTGTGATAGGTCCCCAGGCTGTAGGCAGCGACTGTGGTTGAGATGATGGCACTGAGGCCCAGGGCCTTCTGCCCCCATCCCTGGGATATGTGGCTCCCTGGGATAAGGGTAGAGTGGGCCCTTCTGTGGTCCCTCTGCCAAGGAACATAAAGGGTGGGCCTGGATTCTGGCCACTCGAGCTGAGGCCGTGGGGAGGGGACGGGGGAACACACGCTGTCCTCGGTCCCTGTGCTTTCTCTCCCTCCTTTGATGAGGGTATGGAGCCAGAGCCCTGGGCTCCGGGAGTCTGGGGTAGAGGTGGCAGGATTCTATGACTTCTCAGTGTGCCTCAGGCTTGTCTCTCATACAGGTCCCCTGGGGGAGGATCACGGGCTCTCAGGACCTCCTCGGCTTCCCTCCTCCCCACAGGCATATCCAATGGCCTTCTGGGCACCAACGACAATGAAGCAGGCAATGAGCCAATGTTGTCTAATGGCTCTGTGGCCCACAGCCTAGAGGAGCTCATCCTGGCCTGGCAGGTGAGAAGGTGCACCTGCCCTTCCTCCCTCTGGCTGAGGCTCTTGAGGGTTGCTCGCTGCAGAGTCCCAGGAGAGGCAGGTGGCCTGCTGGCTCTGCAGCAGTCTTTGCAGACCCAGGGTTGGGGGGAGTCTCCTGCTGAGAATGATGTATGTGGGGGAGCCACATGGTCCAGCGGGAGGCCTGAGCCTTTTGTCTGTCCCACCAGGTGGATGGTGACTGCAGGGCCACCGAGAAGACTCAGCCGACCTGTCCAGGACAGAGGCCCGCCTGCCGGGCCTTCTTCCAGGACCTCTGTTCCAGCTTGGGGAACTGCTTCTGGGTGGTGAGTGTGAGCCTGGCCCCTGGGGCACAGAAAGCCCTTTCCCCAGTCTACCCTGGGGAGTGGCACGGAGGAGGGGCCGAGGCTAGAGACAGTGACTGGGTGGCCTTGATTTCAGGTGGACCCCAAACCATTCCTCAGCCTGTGTGTGCAGGACCCCTGTGGCACCCGGGAGCTCCAGCCTGCCTGCACTCTGGTAGCCACCTACATCCACCTGTGTGCCTGCAACTTCGGGTCCCTGGCCCCTCCTCCACAGTGCGGTAAGCTGCCCCAGCTGGCTGGCACTCTGCCCCCTGGCTGGCATCTTCCTTCCAGCTGGAGGGAAAATCCGTCTCTCTCTCTCTTGCCAGGGAGAACGAATAATTGTCATTCAAGGAGCTAAGAGTCAAAACAAAACATTTACGGCCTGATACAGCTTGGATGTGTGTCCCCTCCAAATCTCACATTTGTTAGAGGGGGTACATCCCTCATGGATGGTTTAGCATCCTTCATTTGGTGAAGCGTGAGTTCTTGCTCTGTTAGTTCACCTGAGAGCAGTTTGTTTATAAAGAGCCTGGCCCCTTCTCTCTCTCTTTGCATCCACTCCCATTTCTGCCATGATCGTAAGCTTCCTGAGGCCTCGCCAGAAGCCAAGCAGATGCTAGAGCAGTGCTTGTACAGCTTGTAGAACTGTGAATCAATTATCTCTCTCATTTATGATCTACCCAGGCTGGAGTGTAGTAGCACAATCTCACCTCACTGCAACTTCCACCTCCCAGGTTCAAGCAATACTCCTGCCTCAGCCTCCCAAAAATACAGGCAGGTATTTTTGTAGAGA